CCCTCCTCCCAGCGGCGGTTCTTGGGGGGGCCCTGCAGCAGCCCCGAGCACCCGCGGCGAAGGTACGGCCCCCACCGTCCCCGCCTGCCGGCTCAGCAGGGCGGGCCGCGGGCTCGTGTCGGAGCCGGGCACGGGCCACCGCTGGGCTGCCTGCTCCTTGCCCCTTCCCGGGGCCGAGACCGCCGCACGCTGCCCGGGGTGCTTCGGGGCCCGGTGCGGTGGAAGGGGGGAGGGACAGGGTGCGAGAGCCCGGCCCCGTGAAAGGGGGATGCTGTGAACACGCCGGCCCCGCGTGCCCCAGTCCTTCGGGGAGCCGGCGCCAGGCCCAGGGTCACGCCTGGTGTGTTTCTCAGCCCCCCCGCCAGGCGCCAGTGGGCACGGCGTGAGCGACCTCTGCAAACCCTTCTGGCCCAGGATGAGAGCTACCCGCCGCCGGCCTCCGCCCAGCCCCAGGCGCCGCCCCTGCCGCAGCCCGTCTCCGTAGATGAGCCCCGTGCCTACGCCCTGGCCAGCACGCCGCCACGAATGCTGCACCCGGCTGCGCACCCGCCCCAGCAGAACCCATTCATTGTGGATCTCCACGAGCAGGTGGGGGCGGTGCGGGGGGGTTGGGTTCTCACTGGCCCCCTGCTGTGACAAGCGCAGCTTGAGACGCCCCGCACGGACCCCGCAGGGGCCTCCTGTGCCCCGAACCTCCGTGCTGCCCAGCCCTCGGAGCCAGGCCACTGCAGGAGAAGAGCGCCTGGCAGACCCGGCTGCCCTGGGCACGGTGCGGTCGAGGCGCTTGGTCGCTACCTGCGCTGACACGGAGGCCGGACAGCCCCCCAGCTCCAGCCGGCGCCGAGATGAGAGCCCGCCTGCCTGTGCTCGGAGCTGGGATGGAGCGTGGCCAGGGGGGCACGGCCTCTGTGGTGGGCTGACGCTCCCCGACGGGCGTGGGCGCAGCAAACTGACGGCCGGGGTCTCTCCCGCAGGTGCACCAGGGCCCTGTCCCCCTCTCCTACACGGTGACCACGGTCACGACACAAGGCTTCCCCCTCCACACGGGCCAGCACATCCCCGGGTGCAGCGCGCAGCAGCTCCCAGCATGCTCCGTGATGTTCAGCGGCCAGCACTACCCGCTCTGCTGCCTCCCGCCCCCGGTGAGACCCTGCCGCGGCGCTGAGGGGCAGGAGGAGCTGAGACCTGGGCGGGGCAGGCCGTACTGAGCCTGGAAGGGAACGGGGTGGGGGCATCTTTGGCTGCCTGAACAGCAGG